AAGGAAGGAAGGAAGGAAGGAAGGAAGGAAGGAAGGAAGGAAGGAAGAATGGGAGGGCAGGAGGGAGGAAGAAGGAAGGCAGGAGGAAGGGAAGGAAGGAAGGAAATAGGAATAGGAAGGAAGGAAGGATTACCCAGAGAGACAAACAGACAGAAAGATAGATACAGCTCAATGAAATTACTTTCTTCTCTTGCCTTGAATTCTGCTTAATTTATGGATGGATCCATCACATGGATGATTTTCTGTTCTCTGAAATAGTTGGTCTTCCTTACCAAGAGTAATTTGTGTTTTCCTTACCCTCTTCTTTCCAAAAGGTTACTCTTGACTAAGGTTTGCTAACCATTCTCTCACTTTCCTTCTTTCTTCTTCTTCTTGTTTTTTTTTAATTCATAGACCACAGAGAAGACAAAGCCTCGAAACATTCCTGCAAAGTAAGTGATTTTTTTTATATATAAAAAAAACTCATTGAAAAAGGAGTAGGGTGGAAATGTATTGAATTTCAGGAAAAGAGAGCCAATCAGAATCTGACATCCAGGCTACTCTGCGGTTGTTGCAATAAAAAAGAGGGACCGTGGCTAGTAAAAACATGGTCAACACGAATAACCTTAGTTTATGAGTTTCTCATGGATGGCATGCCCCAATCTTTGCATAAATTTAATATATGGCACCTATGATTATCAATGATATTAGGTGTGATATCTGTAAATAGCTGTTGAATAATAATAATAAAAAAACATGCACATCTGCCTATCAATAAGTAGGCAGATAGGAAGGACTCATAGGAAGACAGAAGTGCTAAATCCAGTATGAACATCTGGTTAACTGCGACTGAACCAATAATAATGGTTTTAGGGAGTCCTAAAAGAAGAGCTTAAGAACCTGTTATGCACAAGTTTAAAAGCATTCCTTGCTGTGCTGTAGTCCTAAAATTTGGGAGATGATTGATTAGTTGATTCATTGATTCATTGCTTGATTCATTCATTGATTGATTATGTGCCATCGAGTTGGTGTTGACTCTTTGTGATTGCGGAAGAAGATTTTCTGCAAGACAGGTTGTCCCCAATGAGTTCTTCCTATCGCCACTGTAACTGAGTCAAATGCATTTTGATGTTGGTCATTGTCTCTTCTCTTCCATTTCCCCAACATTATAAACTTATCCGGAGAGCTCGGTGTGACAATTTGACCCTTGTCATTTGTGTCTCAAATGATATTCCTTGGAAGGTGGGCCCAGACTTCCATAGAGATTGTCCTACCTTCAAAACTTGTGGATACAAGTTTGTACATACAAACATCAAAGTAAGATATATAATATAATCATAAGATACCGATAAGAGAAGGTAGTAGAAATGTTGAGAAGGATGATAGTCATTTAAGTTGGAAAACCTCCATAAAATATCTTGAGTTCCTACTTGTTCCCTCCCAAGAAGGTTGCATTCTGTGAACCGAATCTCAACAACTCGAAGATTTCTCTATTCCAGCCTGAAACTGTTGCGCTTCCCCAAAAACTTTGTTTTGCAGAGCAACAGCCTGCAGAAGGAAGCTTTGCTAGGGTGGGTTTGGTGATTGGTTTTTCTTTTCCCTCTTTGTTTTTGAAAAGAACTGACATTTCTATTATTCCCCAACACAATCAGAGTTTCCCCTTGAATATTAATGCGTCTCAGCTTCCACTTGGCAGCACTTAGTCACTTCCAATGTCACTGCAAGTGACGGATATTCATATTCCTCTTAACATATGGGACCGATGACATACATTTTTTTTTTAAAGAGAGCTTTCTTGTGAAGACGGATGGGACAGGATGCTTCTTTCCACTGTGAATGGCTGTTGGTTAAAAGCCGCACCGTCACAACTGGAGCTGAACTTAACTGTGGTTGACATCTTTTACAAGACGGGGACGGGGAGAGAGATGAAAGGAAGTTTCTCTGTTGTTCCTACTTGAAAAAAACGAAAAAGAAATACCACGATTCCTTGCTCATACACTTTTTGCTGACTCGGTGGCTTTCTGCGGAAGTCACGTTTTGCGCATTGCGAAGGCCTGGTTTCATCCCCCAGAAGCTTGTGGCTTTTCAACATGAAAGAAAAGTCTTCGGCAAAGACGTGACGGAAGATCTTGTGAGTTGGATTTATGTTGAAACATGAAGTGGTTAACTATCCAACCCGTCTGTGCTCCTCTGTCTGAAATTGGGATGCTGCTGCCATTCTGTATCCCATCCGGCCAGGGGTCTTCAAACTTGACAGCTTTCAGACTTGTGGACTTCAGCTCCCAGAATTCCTCCTCCAGTCATGTTAGCTCAGGAATTCTGGGAGTTGAAGTCCACAAGTCTTAAACTTGCCAAGTTTGAGACCCTTGCATTCAGCATTTAGGGAGAAGTCGGGAATCCCTTTTTTCGGTTGTGCTAACCTTGCTTGGGATGTGCTTAGCAAGAGTAGATAAAAAGCACTGATGATGTTACCTACTTTAGGTCATGCAACGTCTGCAACAACACAACCGAGCTCAGAAAGCATCAAAGACCCTACAATTGTCCTCCCCCTCTCTTCTAGCACTGCTGATGTTACCTAATTTGGGTAATGAAACATCTGCAAGGAAACAACCAACTATAAAGAACATTAAGGACCCTATAGTTTTCCTCCTCCTCCTCCTCTTCTTCCTCCTCCCTTCTAGCTTTGATGATGTTATCTAGTTTGGGTAATGAAACATCTTCAAGAAAACAACCAACTATAGAGAACATCAAGAACCCCTCATGTCTAACATCTCCGTTGCTTTGGTGATTGGTTGACTGGTCATTATGTTTGTTTTCTAAATTATAGTCCAGTTGGAAATATTTCCTAACTCTAAGGGCAGCTCAACGAAAGAGTTAGAGACTTAGGAAAATGGTGGGATCCTCAACCCTGGATGAGTTCACACAGAAGATAGACTGCCATCTGTCAAGGATGCTTTAATTGGCATTCCTGTGTTGAACAGAAGGCTGGCCTCAGATGCTCGAATTGCTCCTCCCCAACACTCGGAGTTAATGTTTTCAGGATTTTACTGTGTATTTCAATGATTGTTGGCAGAACATTCTCATACCATAAGCTTCCCAGCAGCATGCTAGAAGACTATTTTCTGATAGTTGGAGTTTCGTACCTCATGATGAGACAATCCTCAGTGTGAGGAAATATTTATGCAAACCTTTAGATGAATTCTCCTCCTCCTCCTCCCATCCTCCCTCTTCCCCTCCTTCTACATCTCCTTCTTCTATAAATGTCTCAGCATTAGGCCCATAAAACAACTACTTCACTGATTCTTCTATCTGTGATCATACTAGAGATAGATAGATGATAGATAGATGATAGATAGATAGATAGATAGATAGATAGATAGATAGATAGATAGATAGATAGAT